AATTCATTTCAACGCGTTACAAGCAGTTTTTTGGTTTCATAATTTTCCTTCAACGTATATATTGATAATGAAAAGCGAAAGTCCTAAATTGATCTTTGCGTGCAGTTATTTGTACAACACACGTTAGCTGTAGCATCCTTCAACACTTTCACGAGCCCTTTGTTGATACACATAAACCATTATAATGCAAGCCATAGTGCTTATAACATTTTAAAATGGCTACACCTACACACTGCCCAAGCTCAGCCTTTGTATTTCATTAATTTTTTAGTAATATTTCTGACATTTATACATTGATTACATTTCATGTTTATATGGGATCATTTGAATATATAAATATGAATACTAAAAGGTGGTTGATCGCGACAGTGGCTAAAGCATATTTAGTAAACATGAAACACCTTATATTCAGGATGGGAGGTAAGATTTACGTATGTATTTTACCGATTTAATATTTTTGAAATTTAAGGGAGAGAATCTTTGAACAGTAAAATTTTATGATTCTCAGTATAAAATGGAAGTAAATGTTGTGTTCTCATTTATAATTCAAGAGTAATAATGCAACCTGGAGGCAATAAATGAATCGACGGATATTGCGTTTTGAAGGAAGACGATTGTGTCGTACAAAATTACAGAGAAGTACTAGATTCACACTAAACCGTGTCACTGAAATGGCCCGAAAAGCGAAATAATTTTTCGTATTCTTGCTTCTTGCACACTCCGAGCTTTCGATCGATTCGAAGATATTAAACGGTTCAGAACAGTTTCAAAAGTCGTCAAAGTGTTATTATAACATGTTGGCGAATTTCTCCGTAAATTCTTTAACGTAGAGAGCTCAACAAAAACTTTTTGTTTTTCTTGTAGCAAAAAAAATTGCTTTTTTTGTTTATATCAGAACAATGTGAACCTACAACAGATAAACATGTGTTAGACAAAATGTGCGCTCAGATTGTATTTTTTGCAGTCCTTCAGCTTCGGGACCTGAAATAAGTTTTAGAGGATTAAATTCGGCGGTATTTTAACGTTCATTTCATTCTACTACTCCAATTTGAAAAGCTTTATGATCATTTTGACCCAGGTGGATGAGCAGAGAAGCGATTTCGAATTGTTTGAATCGAACAGTAAGTAAGTAAGCTGATAGAATATACAAAATGCAGCCGGTAGTGTATGTTTCAGATTTCCTTATGAGAAACACAGAGAGCGGGGAATAGGAACAATAATAGAATACAATGTTATTCCAGATTGCCAGAAATGGAAAAACTACAAAAATTGCAGCAGGAAAAAGTAAATAAAATGAAGAAAGCTAAGAAACCGATATTAGAGTTCACCTAGAATCCGAAGTTGAGTGCTTGATGAAGATGATAATTTATAATTCAACTTTTGACCGACGACAGTCAGATTTACATTGAACAATTTATTCCAGTGCGATCCAGAACAAAAAAAACATGAAATATTATATTGGACAAGTGGAGAAAGTAGAGGATGGGGATTCACCATAAATTACCTGGAAAACGGTACAAATTCGATCTGTAGCAGAGACTTCAATTAAAGGTAATATAATTTAAAATGTAAAGTTCAAAAATACGCGGGTATTGCCCGAATTTGCAAACTTGTTTTTGCCGTAGTGAAAGCAGGCGCTGGAAATGTTAGAGGAAAGGGAAATTTGCATTTTATATTGCAACTTAGCACAATTAAGAGCAATTACTAATAGGGTCAAACTCTACCATAAATTAAAAAACATCCCAAATGATCAGCGACTGAAAGATCAATATCTTCGACTAAAAAAAATATTCAATCTTGGATTAAGATCGCTAAAAGGAATTATGTTTCTTCTATCATAAGTTCTAATAATCCAAAATAATATGGCATACCATCAATTCATACACTGGTAGTTCTAAACTAAAGATTAAGGATCTTAAACTGTGTATTAATAATTTGACTATCGATGAATCTCATGAAGTGGCGCAAGCTTTCAATGATCATTTCGCTGCAGTGCCTAGTAATGTCATTAAGAAGGTAGCTACACTAAGTCCTCAACAACTTAACGACTATAACCAAACATTTAAATTACAGTGTTCTACCGTTTCTCTTTTCTTTGCTCCTGTTACTTCTGATGAAATAGTAGAAGTGACAATGTCCCTTTCTTCCATTGACTTGTTAGGGGTTTCTCCTTGTACCATGAAGAAGATAATTCCCGAAAACTCTCATGTCTTAGCCGAGTTATTTAATAAAAGTATTCTACAAGGTGTCTTTCCAGATGCACTGAAAACTGCGACTGTAATACCAATATTTAAATCAGGTAATCCCACAAACGTTGAGAATTACAGACCCATTTCTTTGTTGAGCACTCTCTCTAAAATTCTTGAGAAAATAGTTAAGAAACGACTTTTAACTTTCTTATCTATGACTAATTTTCTACATAGGGCGCAATTTGGTTTTAGGAAAGGTCGTAACACAGAAATGGCACTCTGTAATTTCTTGAAAGAAATCTATGAAAACCTTAACCTTGGGCATAGTGTCACTGGAGTTTTCCTCGACATTCGCAAAGCATTTGACACCGTGGATCATACACTCTTGTTGGAGAAACTTGAACGGATTGGGATTAGAGGCATTCCACTGCAATGGTTTCGCAGCTATTTATCAAACAGGAAGCAATACGTTAAAATCGGACAATCGAATAGTTCTGAGCATTTAATTAAAGTGGGGGTGCCTCAAGGCTCTGTCCTGGGCCCGATCCTATTTCTGATCTTTGCTAACGACCTTCTCTCTGGTAAACTCGAAGGTTCTGTTACAGCTTTTGCGGATGATACTGCTTTTGTATACTCAAATAATAATATCGAAGAACTGCATAAAACAATTCAATCGGATGTTAGGAAGCTCCAATTGTGGTTTACATACAATCGGTTATCTCTAAACACCGAGAAAACAATGGTTATTAATTTTGGGATTGACAACAGTGCAAATTTTCTTAACCCACTTATCTTTCATGATATATCTTGCTTAAGTAGTACTAAGTGTCACTGTCCTAGACTAAAAGAAACAAAATCTATTAAATACTTAGGTGTTTGCCTTGATAGTGAATTAACATGGAAAAGTCATATACAGAGGATAAAACAACTTTTACTAATCTCACTCAGGACATTTTACCATTTAAAATCTGTTTGTGACGTAGCAATACTGAAGCAAGTATATTTTGCGCTTGTTCACTCTAAATTATCTTATGGCATAGCCTTTTGGGGTGGTACGTATATCTCCTATCTTAGATGTATTCAAACACTACAGAAACGTTACATAAGGTTGATTTACGGTAAAAGCAGGTATTTTTCTTCCTTTCCCTTATTTCTTTCTCTTCGTGTGCTTCCCCTTCGTTATCTATATGTATTCAAAGTTCTTGATCTATTTTATCAGATGAGTAGTGGCTTTGGAATAACAGTTGATCTGGGGACTGGAATTCACAATACTCGACAATATTCTAAGAAACTGCTGCGTCTACCTAAAGTCACTAAATCGTTTTTTCAAAAAACATTCTTGGTCCTCGGTCCAAAATTTTGTAATTATTTTTTTAACCATTACTCTCAAAGTATATTTGAACTATCGGTTCGGGTGTTTAAGAAAAGAGCTAAGGAATTTTTATTTACTAAAACGATTACTGAGTTGGAAAACATGTATCTTATTTTAAGTTAATTTTACAGTTTGATTAATTTTGCTTGGTTTATATTACACATCTTCATTTCCACCAATGCTTCACTAGCGATACGTTGCGTACATTTTATTTAAAATATGAAAATATGTTCATTAAATTTAAATAGTTATATCTGTTGATCTCTATTTAGATTTCTATACGTGTGTATGGCGTTTGTATCATGATCTTGAATTTGCTTTTCCTCCCAGTGTTCAGAGTAATTTTATTCTCATTACTCTTACTGGTGTAGTATTATTTCACCTAGTACATTATCTTTAAGCTAAGTTTTCGTTTATTTTCGCACTGCCTTAATTTATACTTTATATAATTTTTGATTTTTTGTTGAGTTTGCAGTTTTGTATCTAGGTTGGAATAAAGATTATTATTATTATTATTATGAAATTTACGCACTCTAAAGCCTTGTTTAGTTTGTAAAGTATAATTCGAAAATAACTCGTGCGCAAAAATAAAGCTCACTGTTCTGCCGTCTTCTTTCCACAAGTGATGAAATCTGCTTTCTTCTTTGATTATTTCGAATTTGAAACTACTGGCTATTAATAATTTGTATGACCTCGTTACTTCGAGATACTAGGAGTGGGGAACGCTCTGATCAGACCACCCAACCAGCTGATTTTTTGTATACGGTCATATAGTGGTAGCTACGTTTTTCTAGCCCTACGCTTGGAAGTTGTTTAACATCTGCGCAGATCATTAGTTGCCTCAATCGAGAATTTCCATAAAAGAAAAACTTGACCGTCTCGACGAACCTAACACGAAAATTCAGCCTGTTATTAATCACTGAAAAAACAGGCCGTAACTACTGTCAGCACGAAAAGTTCTGCTATCACCGTAATGGAAACGTGTAAACATTACACAAAACCCTTACTAATAAATAGTACACCCTTTTGTGTTTAGGTGTAAACAATAACGCCGAACCATTTACACGTTGAATGAGCTCCCAGTGTTGGATTGTTTTTCAGTAATGTAAATGTAAACAAGATGAACCAACACGGAATATGGCTTCTCATGTTAAGTGTGTTCGACAAGTTTAACTTTGATATTTATCTTGTCTCCCATTACTTTAGAGGGTGCTCGAGATGAACGCTAGCCATTAGCAAATTGCAATGTACGTGCCCTCTAGCCTGCGTTACAGAATGCAGTACAGTTGTTTCACATTAAAAGCATTCATCGGAGTAAATACAGAAGTGCTCGTGTTATAATGGACCAATATGTTATCCGAATTGGCGAACGACGGATATACCACAACGCTTATAATTAGATTACACCTGTTATCGGTTTTATTGCTCGGTTAGGGCAATTACAGGAGGCAATTTGCATAGAAATATCTGCCATTAGTGTCAATAAATTTAATTAAAAAATACGTACCGTTAAGTATATGGACGTACGCACTCGCCGGCTGGGCATTACTTGGCACACAGGAGTAATTTCCCGAGTGCCTCGTCGCCGCACTGCTTATTGTTAACGTGCTGATTTTTACTGGCAGCTCAGTGGTAACGTTGATCCCTTGATCTAAATCGTAGTTGATCATTCGATTATTGTGATACCAGAACACATAAAGAGGTGGCTCTGTGCTTTGTACAACTCTACACTGCAGCCTCAAACCGGAACCAGGTTTTAGGTATTTCTCCGAGGGACCTGATATTTCCGCTCTTGCCTCTGAAATGCAAATAGAATTATTTTTTCGGTTCTACAATTACATTCTTGGAATAACTGCCATAGTAACAAGTATCCCATTGGTTGACGCAATGGTAACCAACGCAACCGTCGACGTTTATTCTGTGTATATAGCTTATTCTCGCATTGTAGAATCGGCCCTTTTAAGTCGGGTAGAACTACGTCAATGTTATAGCATTGCACCGTAAATCTTGAAAAATTTAAAATCGATTTCCGAATCTGGAGGATGAACGCATGAAGCAAATTGAGGCTTGAAACCTGAACGTTGAATATCGGGGGACGGGGGTTGAATCTTGGCACTTGAATCACTGAACCTGAATGCTTGAATTTTGCAACATGTATCTCGAGGAGAAAATATTGATCTCTAGGTTTCGATTTTGAACTTAAATTTGAGAGTTTGAACTATATAAAAGATAGTCATGAGTAAGTATCAATAAATGGCGCATTCATATATTTTCTTTCAAAGTTAAATCTACAATTTCCATTAAAAATGCATTTACGGGTAGGGATGTATTTCTGTCGCAAAGAATAAAGTCACCCTAAAAAAGTGTCTGCATCTCTTTCGTATGTGTAACTAAATAATATAGCCCGGTGTCATTTTTAATTATGACGCCATTAGCTGGTGGTTGGTTAAGATTACAACATTTGCGAACCCCGACTGGTTCGCATAATAGAAGTGTGTGCTGAGAATTCTGATAAATTGGACATAATTAGTTACCTAAATTGGTATTAGTCTAAAATGGAGAAGCAGTGTAAGGCATAACACTTGATAGCAGTTGCGGAATGTTTAAGAAAGTAGAAATGCGATTTTTGCTTGTTGTTTTTCTCCTTGTATCTATCTATCTATCCTGTACGTCATCTTTTAATTTTAACAAACAGTTCGTATCAGAGCTCCTCCCAGGTGTATCAGTGTGCAAAAGATAGTAAATAACGTAAATTATTTTATGGATGTATAACCTTACTTTTTAGGATATGCTAGCAATCCCTTTTACACCAGAACATGACGTGTTCATCTTAAAAGCAAATTTTATCGGAGTGCAACCCTTTTAGAGGAACATGGACGTATTCCATTCAGTCCTGTCGCCAGCAACTCGATGAAGAATTTGCTGATATACAACATATTCTTTATAAGGTATTTGCCAACCACAAATACCGGGTAACTCAACGCTTTGAGAATAAGAAGTGCATATGTAAGAGAAAATCTACAGGTCTGTCTTCGATACGAACTGCGGAAATGGTAGAAGATGTAGAGGGTCGTATAGGACAGAGCCCTAAGAAATCAATTCGCAAGTTATTCAATCAAGCTGGCGAATTTGTAACATTATTTTCTTGCCATTCGATATTCCTGATTGGAATCCCGCTTAAGTAACTATTTAAATGGTGCTCTTATTCAATATTCTAGGTATCTTCTTTGTAATCCATTAGTTTAGGTTTGTGTAGTAATTTTGTTATTATCTTAGTATAAATTTCTTATTACCTATGGTTCTTCTGTACCTGATACTACGTATTTTGTTTTTGTCGTTACCGAAGATGTGACATTACCGATACTGGGACCCAACATTGATTCATATCTGTGAGTTTGATGGCATTGTATCTTTCAGATTAGCTGAGTTATACCTATATTAGCCACCGTTGTTTTGCGAATTAGTTTGTCCGAAACAGATATCTAATTTTTTGGTTACCTACGTTATTTGTTTACTCCAAAGACTTTGCTCATATTAGCTGGTTTACATTTTAGGCTAGTCAAAATAGGTGGTTAAGGTTGAAAGAATTAGTAACAAAGTGATCTCTCCGGAAATGAGTACCCAATAGGGTCCTTATATTAACCCCTCAAAAATCGCACTTTGTCGCATTGGTGGAACTTGGAAAAAAATGGCCGCCATCTTGATTTTTTTCGAATTTATTAAATATTTCGTAAAGTATACATTATATCAAAAAAACTCAAGAGACTTTTTTTATAGAGAATCAAAAGTTGCCTGTAATAAAAAAAGTTTAAGTCTATTGATCAAAAAACAAAAAAGTTATTGAAATTTATGATTTGGCAATATGGATTTTTTTAAAATTTCGTAAATATCTGAATTAGTTAAAACTGTTTTGTATGCCCAATTTTGAAAATATGGATTTTAAAGTAAAATACTCACAAAATATTCACATCTGTGTCGAGACTTAGATGTATTTCAAAAACTTAATGCAGATATAGCAGTTTTAATTAAATCAGGACTTAAAATTATTTTAAATCTGTACCGGTGTCCAAAGAAGATTCATGATTTAATGTAGCAGGTAAGTAGAGGGAGGCAAATAATTGAATGTTTTTATTTTCTTTAGGTTATCGGCTCACTAGAGTCGTTTATATATTTTAGTAAGGTCTGATGATGAAGTGAGCTTCGAAATCGATAACCTAAAGAAAATAAAAACATTCAATTATTTGCTTCCCTCTACTTACCTGCTACATTAAATATATCCAAATAATTCACATGGAGCAATACATCAATAAATCGGTTGGTGGTAGTTAGGCTACATATAATTCTGAATTTAAGCTTTGCCTTGAAGTCATTCGCATATACAGGGTGGTGACTTGCGTAACGCATCATAAGGATTTTTAAATGTATCTAAAATTCATAACAAACGATTATTGGCTCCCCAAATTATTTTAAAGCAAAAATGTATTATGCTTTTTTGTAGAAAACATTTTTTTACGCCAATCAATCGTCTTAGTTTTCAATTTTTTTCATATAAAGACGGAACATTGGAAAAATAAAACCCATAATCTGCGATGCCATGGAATTTTCTAAAACAAAAAGATATCCAGTTATCAATTAGCAGCAGATCGAAATGGATTTTATGATCGACTTGGTTACTGTCTTGCAGTTAATGGTGACTTATTCGAACATTTATTGTAAATTGTTATATTATAGGAAACCGTTTTTAGTAATTTGGTCTTTCTTTATGTTGAATTCGCTGTTCTAAATGTAATACTTTTTGAGAATTTGATTTGTTTTATAGTAGACATTCCATGGCTTGACGGATATTGGCGTAGTTTTTCTATTATAAAATTCCATGGCATCACAGATTATTGAAAAAGATGGGGGTTTTAATTTTCCAATTTTCCGTCTTTATTATATATAAAATTGAAAACTAATACGGTTGATTGCCGTAAAAAAAATGTTCCTACAAAAAATCTTAATACATTTTTGCTCTAAAATAATTTGGGGAGCCAATAATCGCATGTTATGAATTTTACATTGAAATCCCTATGATGCGTTACGCAAGTCACCACCCTGCATAGTGTGTGACGTAACTGGTTAATATCATGAATCTTTTTTTGGACACCGGTACAGATTTAAAATAATTTTAAGTCCTATTTAATTAAAACTGCTATATCTGCATTAAGTTCTTGAAATACATCTAAGTCTCGACACAGATGTGATAATTCCCCTAATCATATAAATTTCAATAACTTCTTTGTTTTTTGATCAATAGACCTAAACTTTTTTACTACAGGTAACTTTTGATTCTCCATAAAAAGTCTCTTGAGTTTTTTTGAGATAATGTATACTTTACGAAATATTTAATAAATTCGAAAAAAATCAAGATGGCGGCCATTTTTTCCAAGTTCCACCAATGCGACAAAGTGCGATTTTTGAGGGGTTACTAAGGACCCTATTAAGTACTCATTTCCGCAGAGATCACTTTGTTACTAATTTTTTCTACCTCACTTGTATAAACCTGCCTAGATTGACCAGCCTATTTTGAATTAAGTAGATTGCATTGGTGTTGAATAGAAACTTAGTTATTTGTGCATCGTAAAGTATTTTTTTTTTAATTTAACGTCACGAGCTTTATCATGTTTTCTACTTGCATTTATGATTTCTCGTGTGTTGTGTTTTCATGAATCTGTTTAGCTGCTATCTACTACTCTAGGTGCGTGGTGACTTAACTACCTTAAATGTATTCCAGAGATCTCAAGAAAATGTAGAAAAGTTTGTATGCATCTTATAAAATAAAGGAGTGCGGATCAACGTCCGGTATAAATAGAAGTGGTATATAAATCTGAAAATATTTTAGCTGAAACGGACTCATTCAGCAACTTTTATGTGTAATCATAAAAAATCTATAGCCATTATTAATTTTAGATATAATAATCGACGCAGTTTAGCGTTAGAGACCATAAACCATAAAAATTCCAATCTATTATTTCACTCATATCATATTGACGTACGGTACTACAAAAACGAAACTGAATCTGTATGTAAGGGTTTTCTTTATTTCCTACGTCATCCATTTCAAAATTCGCACTGTGATTGAATTTTTCCGGAGTTTCCCATTATATTGATGAGAAATGTTTCCCCATATTATACGTTTGGGACTTGGACTGCGTGTTTTAAGTGTGGTTGTTCAATAAGATACATACCTCAAATTTAACAAGGCCTTGTCGTAAAGGATAAAGCCAACCTCAAAAAGTGTCTGCATCTCTTCGGTATGTAACTAAATAATATACGCCGCTGTCACTTTGAATTATGACGCCATTACCTAGTGGTTGGTTTAGATTACCACAAAATAGTAGACATTTGCGAACTCTTGACTCTTTCGCATATCAGAGTGTGCAGAGGAACCTGATAAAATTGGCCATAATTAGTTACCTAAATTGTAAACTATGAAATGGAGAAGCAGTGTAAGGCGGAATGTTTCGTGTAGTAAGAAATGCGATATTTTTCTAACTAAATGTTCGGTGCTGGTGCAGTGGTAAGGTGACTTCTTTTTCGTTTTACGTTTGGAATTCATTCAACCAAACCGCAACAAAATCAATACCAAACCTCAGCAATTTTAATCCTCCGTTCATTTCAAAGTTATTTAATCGCTTAATTTCCTGATACTATTGTTTAAGCAACCGCCTAAATAAATTTCCGTAGGTAACTGATCTAACAATATCATTTGTATATCACAAAACCACGTAGAACATTTAATTGCTAATAGGAATTTAA